ACAGGCTATCTAATTAAGAAGTGGTAGCTTTGAAGAACGTGATGAACTTTGGAAGAAAAAGACTGTTTTGGGTTTTGTTTCTTTTGGCAAATGGTTGTTGAAAGGTAGTTATATTTTATTTTCTTTGGTGGATCCTACTTGAAGAGACCTGATGACGTAATGGAGGATGGGAATATATATATTTAAAAAATAATTATGGACTTAATCACTTGTGCAACAACAATTTTGCATCTTTTAACAAAAAAAAAACAACAATTTTGCATCCCTTACAATTTTACATTGCTTAAGCCACAATTAAATTACATACTCCGAGCTTGATGTTTTTCAGTTTATTTCATCTTAAATGCAAGAGAGGTTATCTTCATGAAAGGCAAACATGCTCTCTATTGGTGGAAAACAAGTTTTGATTAAGGTCGTGTTGAATATTTTACCTATGTATGTGATGTCTTCATTCAAGCTTCCACGACATTTGTGTCTTGAATTAATGCAAGAAATTTGGACTTTTTAGTCGTGAAAAAATGAAAAATTTCGATCCATTCATTGGATTAACTGGGCTCCTTTATGTGAGAGTAAGAAGCATGGGGGGCTAGGTTTTAGAGATCTAGAGCTAGGCTTTCAATTTGGCACTTTTAGCAGAGCATGCTTGGAATTTCCAAGTCCGAAAAGAAGGTTTGGCGTATCAATTGCTTAAGGCAAATTACTTTCGTTCGTGCCCGTTTTTGGAGGCTTCCCTAGGGTTAAATCCTTCATGAGGATGGTGAAGTATATGGTCAACCCAGACCCTTTTGAATAGAGGATTGAGGTGACTGATTGGAAATGGAAAATCTATACATATTTGTCAAGATCATTGGATTCTTGAGTTTCCTCACAAATTAACACCTCCGTAAGTCGATTATTCTTTTTGTTATGTAACTAACTTGATTAATCATCGTACAAAAACCTAGAAGTGGGATGTCTTACAACAGCTTTTCCAAATCATGAAGTTCAAACAATATCTCGAATGCATTTCAGTCATTGGGATAAGCCAGATGGTCAAATTTGGGCGCCTGAGTTTACAGGAAAATTCTCTATGCGATCTGCTTATCATCTTGCTGTTTCTCTTTTTGATAGCTCTGTAGCCTAAATGAATAATTTCTCTTGGCATTCAGTATGGCGTTGCAAAACTTTATCCAAGCTGCAGCACTTTCTGTGGCGTTGTTGTCATGATGTTTTGCCTAATGGCTCATTACTCCTATTTCGAGGATGTGTGGCGTCTCCTCTGTGTCCACGATGTGGGTTGGAAGAGGAATCTATTGTACATCTTTTTTTCACATGTCCACATTCTCTACAGGTTTGGAAATTGTCCCCTCGTAGATTTGATTTTTTGTCTGCCACGTTCCAGTCTTTTTTGGAAGGTTGCGATATTTGGTGGACCGGGTTGCCTCCTTGCTTGATAAACCTATTGTTCTGGGCTTTGTATCTTTTTGCGCTTGGTGTATATGGAAGGCTAGGAATCAAATGGTGCTTGAGGGTGTGATGCATATGGAGCCTGGGGAAGGTGATTGCTAAGGCTATAACAAGCTTTTGGGAATTTCAGGAGGCTCAATTTTAATGCAAAAAACTAGAAAGAGGTTTTTCTTCGTCTTCTTCCAATTGCTGGTTGCCTCATTTGCAGGGGTTGATTAAATGTAATTTTGATGCTAACTTTCTTAAGGATTCTACCCTTGGAGGAGGTGGTGCAGTGTTTCGTGATTCTCATGGAATTATTCTCTATGCAGTGGTGTTTCAACCTTTCTTCTCATCGTCGACAATGGTGGCTGAGGCTATTGCTTTTCGGCGAGCTATTTTATGGCCTGTTCTTTTGTATATTAATCGATCTCTGTGTTTTGAATTTGATGCAAAGATAGTTATTGATGCAGTAATTGATGGTGCACCATGTCCTTCTGACATTACGTCTATTTGTTTTGATATTAAAGCGGAGCTTCAGGCATTTTCTCAAATTAAGTTCCTTATCTCATGTTCGTCGATCGGGTAATCGGGTGGCTCATGCCCTTGCGGAAGTATCTCGTTACTGTGTGGGAACCGATCGGCTGTTGGATCGTATTCCCCCTTGGATTGTGGACCTTGCTGTGCGAGATGCTTTGGTTATAACTTCTTAGTTGTTTGTTTGGGGTGTTGATAGGGATATATGGCAACGGGGGCGGGTTTGGGCGAGTGTACTCTCCCCCTCCCCCACAACTGTTTAAAAATCTTGCCCCCGTCCCTGCCCAAAACCGCAAAAACGGGAGGACTTTCCACCCCATCCCCGCAACCGTTTAACATTTTTACCCCAAGGGTACCCGCCCTGCCCCACTCCGTTTAAGACCATAATTTATTTATTGTTGAAATAGATTTGCTCTTTGTTTTTTCCTCATCTTCAGTTCTTCACCATTGCAACTTTCCCTCTAATCAAATTCATTTGTTACTTTAATATTGTTATATAATGTACTTAATATATATACTAATGAAATAAAGGTAATTAAGTAATTTGTTTATCTAAATAGGAGGTCGCCCCGCCCTGCACCGCACCAAACCCACACGGATTTTTATTACATCAAATCATTCCCGCCCAAATAAGCCAAACGATCCCCAAAACTGCCAAAAATGGGGCGGGGCAATGCGAATAACGGCGGGGCCGGGGCGGATCAAATTGCCATCCTTAGGTGTTGGGTGTTGGTTGTTTTTTCTTTTCTCCTTGTTTTTTTGTTATTACCAGGAACAGAAAAAAAAAACCATAATTAAATTACATTGTTTATGTAATAACTTTATATACTACAATATAAAGCATCTCCTTCGCATATTTATGTAACAATTTGGCATCCTTTATACCATCTCATATTGTTTAAGCAACAATTATATTACATTATTTATGCAACAATATTAACTTTATCAATTATGTATATTGAGAATTGTTACATTACAATGTGTGATGTGTCTTACACCAACAATGACTATGGCATCTTTATCAATTATGTATATGTTACATTATGTTTGTTACACTAACAATCATTAAGACATTTTATCAATTATGTATATATTACATTACAAATTTACAATGTAGTGCGTTACACTCATTCATGACAATTTTTTTAAAAAAATAATTTCAATGGGAGAAATAGTGAAATTTGATAAGTTTATAATTCAAAATTTTAAAAAATTAATACTTAAAAAATAAAATAAAATACACACAAGTCTATGCTTGAGCCTGTGTTTATAAGTTTGATCTCAAATGAAACACACAGAATTAAACTAAGAGATGACTTGTTTTCTGGTGATATTTTTCGGTGTAAAGAGATATTGAGCAAAGGGATTTTCATATATATATATATATATATATATATATATATTATATTTTAATTTATTAACCCAATTAAATCATACGAAAAGAAATGATTGAATGATGAGGTTGTTGTTAATAAAATTTTTAGGCTCAGTTTGGTAGAGTGGAAATGGGAGGAAAAGAAAAGAAAGGTTATGGAGGGAGATAAAAAAAGGTGTTTGTGGCTGAAAGTTGGAAGGAAAGGAAAGGGAATGGAGGGTTTTGGAGGGATATAAATAGGCTTAGCAGTAAGTTTTGTAATCCTCCCAAAAATGGGAGGAAATGGAAGGAAAGGGAAGGAGAGGCTTGGTGTGTGATTTCTGATGCCAAATATGCCCTTGATAACAGGTGAATTTAGTTTGCTAAACAAGAATTACAGACCTTGATATAGCTTGAGAGTTGACAGATAGAGGGCCAGCGGCTGAAGCTTGGGAACGGCGACAAACAGCGGGCGATGGAAACTGAAAGATATGGTTTTGATTTTTTGAACAATCTGAAATGATTATGCCGATATAAGTTTTGAACTTTGATTCGTGTAGATAGATATATAAACTGAAATATATGGGTTTTGAACTTCTGATTCGTGTAGTTTGTAGTTGCAGAGAAAGAGAGAGGGCAAGTTCAAAGTCGGCAACGAGAATAGAGATGGAGGCGATTGGGGTGAGGCAGAAATGATTTGCCTTAAAAATATCTTCTTTCTTTTCTGGTGGCCCATCAGCCTTGGGCCTTAAAAAAATGTAGTTGCAGGGAACAATATATATATATATATATATATATATATATATATATATATATATATCTTTTAAAATATTAAAGGGTATAATAATAATTTTATTAAAATAATTTTCTTTCCTTTTTTTTCCTTCCTCTTTCCAAACATGATTATTATCCTTCCCTTTTTTTTCCTTCATTAATCAACCAAACACGATAAAGGGATGGCATTCAAGTGGGACCATTGGGCCAACCATTTCTATCGAAATGGTGGGCTAGCTTGTAAAGCACAACTACCCATTCAATTAATATTGCAATTAAATATTCAATTAATATTTCAATTAATATAGAGTTGTGATCCTACTTTTAAGTTTTGAAGCCGAATTAGAGATATGATTTGGACCCATTTGGCTTTCAGAGTTTGGAGTCCAAATATTTATTATAAGTAGAAAAGTATAAAATTTTTGCTAATAAATGCATGTTAAGATGGTCCTAATAGATGTAAATTCAAATACAAAGATTAAAAAAAATATAGAAGCTAATAGAAGATCTCTAATTTATTAATCCTTCTCTTCTATTTTTTTGGTAACTAATGTTACCTTTTGTCTTCAAATATCAAACAGAGCCTTCAAAATGCTTTCCTCGAAGTTAATGTAGGCAGTTAATATAGTATACACCAGAAATGGATATGGAAGAAGTAATTGGAATGTATGTGATTCACGAGATGAAAAAAGGCGCGTGAACATATCTCTTACCACTAGAGCGAATCTTTGTTCTCAATACCTGCCTACACTACACCAGAGAGTAAACAGTACAACAACATTATAGTAGATATTTTAATCCATCGTTTTCTTATTCTCACTTTTTACGTTCGGTTCCGCTCTCAAAGGTCGCTGTCAGTCTTAAATAAGGGGAAAAGAAAGAGCTGAAAATGGACTGAGACCACCAGACCACCACCCCCATCGAGCGGGAAAACGAAAAAGCTACCACTCCCTTTCCCTCTCTACTTACTTTCTCTCTCTAGAAATCCTATTAATTCCATGGTAGAAAATTTCTCGCCCCAGCTAGTTCGTGGTGTAGTCTGCTCCGATCGTTCACAAGTGAGTTGGTTTTTCTCATCTCTCTAGTTGACGAAACCGTCCGTACGTCTATTTGCGTGTTTGTGTGAGTTCTCACTTCCTTTCCCCCTCTTTCTCTCTCTAAAATTAATCAGATTTCAGTGCCCCACTTGATTAGAATGGCTGATTTAGTGTGCTTCAAGGATGAAGTATAATGTTTAATCTCTCTATTTGGATTTATGTATTTCTCAGGCTGATTAGTGAAACATGGAGTACTATTTTTCCTTGATCTCTTCGCTTTCTCTCTCTACGCCACTTTCTCTCTCTAAAAATCGAAGAATTTCGACCGTAGAAAGTACCGTGACGTGATCCACACTTTCTGCGTAGTTACTTCCTCTTCCACTCTCTTTCTGTATCCATAGTTGCATCTTCTTTTTCTCTCCCCGAAACCATGGCGGTGGCGTCCGAGAGCTTCTCGATCCGGTAAGTTGCCGATACTAATTTCTGGTTTCTTTCTATCATTTAGCCTTTGAAACTATGTGTAAAGTAGGTGATTCGGTACTGTTGCAGAGAGTATGCGTCGAAGATGAGGACGGTTGATTTGGCAAAATGCTGGCCGTTCGAGGGGGATTCAGATAAGCTGAACAAAGAAGTTGTAGAGGGTTTCCTCCCTCCGATTACGGTCAAGAAGTTCAGGTGGTGGGCGGATGAGGTGGCGCTCGTGCGATCCAAATGCTGCATGGACCAAGAGAAGTCAAAAACTCATGAAGAGTCATCTAAATTAATGTCAGGCGTGGAGGCCGAGAAATCAGAGGTGGTTTTGAGATCATCTGAGAATAGGGATTTACTAATTTGTTCGGTAGAGGAGCGGCCGAGGATGAAAATCAAGGCCAAATCGTGGACACCGAAGAAGAGATCAATAGTGGAGATTTTCGCAGTGGCGCCCCAGGTGGAGAGGGTAGATGATGATGATGATGATGATAATGTTGATGTGGGGGAGGAGGAGGTGAATACTCCTCATGATCAAGATAATTCTCTAGAGGAGGGGTTTCTTTGTTCCAAGGTTTCGACTTTGAGCGATGTTTGTTTGAATAAAAATGGTAAAAGAAAGAAGAATATGAAGAAGAAGAAGAAAACCAAATTGAAAGAGACAACTGAAACAATTATCAGCAAGGACAAGAATCTCAAGTTCAAGAGGAAAGGCAAGAAGAACAATCCATTGGCTCGATCTAATATTGCGAACAAGGTACGCGATTAATTTCTTTAATTAATTCGTTATATGTTACCTATTTCTTAATTAATTGCGGAGGGAGGTGGTACGTGGTCATTATTACTGACTTGATCTTCTAATTAATTAATTAATTACCAAGTTGGAATGGTATGTGAGATTTGTAGCATGAAATATTGTTTTTTTTTTTTATTCTGATCGAGTTGTTTGTTGATTGACGACGACTGTATTGTTGGGCTCAGTATGATTAGTCTCCAGTGTTTTTCTCTCTCTTTAATCGTATCCCGTTTAAAATTACTTCTGAAAAAGCTGATTAAAACTGTCTGTACACCTTTGGAAGACAAAAATATATATATATATATTGGGCTTGTTATAGTACTTGCTGGGTGTGAAGTACGCGGCAATGAGGTAATGGTTGTGGTGACTACTGGCTAACCGAGAAGACGACACGATGATCCCAGACCTCATTGCTGAATTATATCTTCCTTCGCAAACGGAAAAAATTAGGAAAATATATATAATGGGCTTTTCAAGTTGGGGAAGTTTTTAACTTGTTATGGAACGGAGTATGGTGCTCCAGCTGTACAGTACGGATTGGACAAAGATGTCTCCTATATGTGAGGTGGAGAGAGCTTGTCCTTCGTTTAGCAGTGTATGCAATACTATTTTTTTTTTTTTTGCCAAATTTATGCTATGGTAACTGGAACAAACATTGTCTTTCGACTCTGGGTGTGCTCGGCCCAGTTTTGGGTCGTGTAGTTTGACTGTTGATGACATATGATTTGATGGAATATTCTTTAGAGTAGGCCCCAATAAGTCACTGTTTACATGTATCACTCTCTTTCTTCTTATGCTTCTTCACATGGGGGCTTTAGTGAAAAATATTGTGGATTGCTGCCACAAATATTTATTACTAGAAATTGAGGGGGTCATTTTTTGGTTCTTTTTAACAAGGATGGATAGGCCGATATCTTGGATATTTTTTTCACCTTAATTAAATTAGCTACTTGGTGGAAAACAATTTTCTATTATTTTCTACGAATTATGTCAGTGATGATGTGATCAATAGAAGTCCAGCTTCTATTGTGTTCCGGTGCCTTGCATGTGCTAGTGTTGGATTGTGCACCGCCTATACATTTGCAAAATAAGTTGCTAGTTAAGGAAAGGTGTTTATTGCTGTGGGTAATTAAGAAGGAATGACCTCCAGTATTCTATTTGGCTGCTGAGTAAACCATTATAGCTAGCACTGTTCACAGAGTTGTAATTCTGATGATAGTTTTCCCCGTAAACTGAAATTATAGTCAAGTGAGAAAGCAGTGGTGGTATCATATTGTAGGACTACTATGTCATATTGGGTTGCAATGATTTGGTACTCATTTTTGCCATAACAACAAAATCCCATCACTAATAAATACAAGTTCTCACTAATTTATTTAAAAAGATGTGAAGCCTGCTGTGATGATCTATTTTCATTGCCTGAAGCTCTAGCTACTATAATAATTTATTGTGGCAAATTATTTTCCATGCAAATTGTCAGTTTTTGTCACTAATAATATTTGTTTCAGAATTTAAATGAAAATAAAATCTAGCTATTATTTTTTTTTGATATTTTCGTTACCTATTTTTGTTTTTAAGAATATAGTTTGTATAAAGTAAAAAAAAATAAAAAAAACCTTTAATAAATTTTTTTTTTTTTTTTTTTTTTTTTAAATGGCCTGCTAAAACAAATATATAGCATCCAACATATCATCAACAATATACCATAATCTACTGTGCAATTTTATAAATATATTTCATCCAATTAATCATAGATGTCCATAATACAAGAGTCACAAAATGTATACATAAAAGAACAAAAACATAATAAAAGGTCCATAAACGATCAACACTTTGGCCTGCATCACAAAAGAGAAAGCAAATCCTTAACCGATGAACCTGCTACATAGAAAGTTTATAAAGTATAGTTAGTTTATTATTCCAAAAATACAATGTAAAGACTCGTACTATACTTGAGCATGTATTAATTTGTTTAAGCCATAAACTGTCTATAGCTGCCTGATTTATAGATATGTAGTTCTTTCTCAATCTATTCACTTACTATGCCTTTGTTCAAGTATAATTGAGTTGGTGGTGCAGGTTTAGGGGCATTCATACCAATGATAAATAAATTTTCCCATAAGAAGCCTAATTGAATTTTTATTTAAAACCTTAAGCTTTTAACTTTTTATATTTTTCAAATCGGTTTCCTCTTGTATTATGGGTGCATACAGTTCGGATTGGATTGGTTTACGGCAAAAGTCCTAATCTGGTCCTAATGGTTCCATGAAATTTGGGACTGAATTGAACCGAGCTGAACAAACCACCTAACCGAACCATTTTGAACCATACAAGAACAGTTTGGATCAATTCAGTTTGGCAATTTGGGCTTTTAAGCAATGGGAAATAGCAGATGAGAAAATTTCGTTTTTTATTTTCTGTTTTCTCCATTTAGCTACCAATTTGAGGGTAAAAGATTTTGTATTGAAATGTTGGATTTTACTTTTGATTTATTTGGTTATTGTTTGAAGTGTTAAAGGGCCACACTAGTTCAAACTTGAATCAGAGGGTTTAAAGAAACCAATAAAATTTGTGCTAAAAGGCCACATAATAAGTTCAAAGGAACCTGCAACTCTCCGCACACAATTTTGATGAAGAGAGAAACTCATGTCTGTTTCCTTCAAGAATGGCTTGGATGCTCATCGTGCCCGTTGTGCTTGGGACCTACAGTTGTCCATTATTCGTCCTCCTCCATGTCTGCTGGACATCTAGTTGCTTCCCCTCTCCATGTGATGAGGCATGTTGCTCACTGGTATAGGATTTTGAATTAACCGCCATCAGTTGTTTGCTGGGCTTAGTTTATTATGTCTAGGCATGTTTGGGCTTAGTTTATTATGTCTAGGCTTGTTTGAGTTAGTTTGTCTAATCCTTGTATTGGTCTTCTTGTGGCCCATCCCTTTTGTACAGTGATGACCTATACATGTATATTTTGGCTGTTTGAATTGGGTTTTTCCCCCTTTTCGTGAATTGAACCGGTCCTAACGTCTTCTAAATTATTGGAACCGAACCGAACAAGCCACATGGATTGGATCAGTTTCACAGTTCAGTGGTTCATTTGTGCGTCCATATCTTTTATCTACCAGTCAGAGTTTTTTGTATATTGTCTGAGGCCCCTTTACAAGTGTGGTTGAATGTCTGAGGCTGGGATATATTGCGGTGTTCTAGAATGGCAAGTGTTTTGGATTAGAAATCTACATTCTCTTTTGGTTTACTAAGGATTAATACCTCTATGTCCTTTCTTTTGGGTTAAAGAATACTTCTTCATTCTCTTTTGGTTTTATAAGGATAACTACCACTCTGTCCTTCCTTTGTACTTATTGATTAACCATAATTGCCATCAGTTTCAAAGGGATCTTTACATGGGCAACAAGATATGTCCCTGGAAACTAACAGCTAATGTTGATCTGGAATATTTTTGGATTTTGATTGGCAATAATTAACAATATAAACTGGGATCCTATTTATCTTTTATTTCTTGATTTGTATATGCTACACCTTTCAGAAAAAGAAAGTAGAAACATCTCAATAAAGCTTTATGCTTTTAAAATGTGTCATTATTTGACTCATAGGTGCTACCTTTGAGAATATCGCAGAATTCAGACCTCGACATAGGCTTATTAGCTACACATTGAAGTGGAATGAGAGGCAAAGGACTTAGGTGGGACTTTCATAAACGGGAGTGGGGAAAGTGTTTAATGCAAAATACTCATAAAGGTCAAATGTCCTGATTCAGATTCATTGGAGACAAAATTATGAAGTGCTAGATTTTTAGGATTCCAGATGTTTCTTCCATTTTCAATGTAGAAGTTCACGTCGAGTTCTTGTCTGATTACTCCATGTTAAAACCTAAAGTTTTGCTGTGAAACCTAAAATTCCGTGAACATGCTTTTGTGCACTTGATAAATGAATCAGGTATTTTTGGAATGCATCTGAGTTTAAGCTGAAATGACACAGTGTTATGTGCTGGTTTTTTTTTCTCAGGAGAAACCTCATAAACACAAACTGCAGTCTCCAGTCAATTTCACCAGGAAAACAAAAGGTTTGTCGTATAGTAAGGGGTCCACAAGTGACGTCTTGGATGCTGTTCCTATCCATAGGAAGAAACCAAGACTGAAATGTTCAGCTATGAAAAAAAGGAACAAAAATTTTCAATCTTCCAAGTTGCTTGTAAAGCACCAGAAACCAGTGTTTCCTGTTTGTGGCATTCTCAAGAAACACAGCAATGTAATTTCAGGACAGAACTCTACAACATGCAACTCGCTGGGTGATAATCAGGCAAATCAGCGTGGTGATCGACCATCAGACCGGCATGTCACATTTTCAGAGAAGGATGACATACTCAGACCAAGGAGAAAACTTTTGTCTTCCGTAGGGTGTCCTAAATCACAAAATATCTGCAGTTCATATTCCAATGCTTTTACTGCTTCTTATGTGAAGGATCATGCTGAGGAAAGTGGTAAAGATTTAGCTACTGTGGAGGTGACTGGAAGTGATGAAGATGCTTCTAATAGAACAGAAAATGAGACTGAAATTCAACTGATTGCTGAAAAGCAATTGTCTGATATACATCATCATCATGCTGATATACCAAATTTTCTGAGGCCACATATTAGTTGTCAAGAGCGTTTCTCTGACAGACCTGTAACTGTAAATGAAGTTGCAACACATACTGAAAGTTTGCGTTCATTTGAACAAGGCTACAGAGCGACATCAGATGATCCCTCATATGCTTTCAACCCTGGATTTCTTTCTGTTCGAAAAGAGGGGTATAAACCCAATGTGAACACTCAATTATGTGGCAGTATTTCAAGAGTTTCCAATACAAATGGAATGGTCATTGATAATTTTGGGGATCCTACTGCTGGGTTTACTTCAGTGTCTTGCATGGATAAGGCATTTCCCCAGCCTTCATCATCATATTTTTGTGTCAACGGAAATACAAATGGGAGGATTCTATTTCCCTCACAAGCCACCCAACAGAATTTTCACGGTCATGCTTCAGAATACCAACCATATTGTCCTGTGTCTCCTAAGGAATTGATGGGCAGTATATATTCCTCTACGGATTGGAAACAAAGAAACGTAACGTGTAAAGAGCAACGCATGAAAGAAGATTTCTTTGGTTTGCCTCTTAATTCACAAGGAGAACTAGTTCAGTTGAATTCAAATGGTAAAGATGGATATGGCCAACTGATGAGGACAAGTACAGTAACAGGTTCTTCCAGGAACTTAGCTGAGGACAATAATGTACTGCCAAATCACACAGGTAAGCGTTTAAGTGTTGGGAGAGCACCATTGAAGGACCAATTAAAATTGTTCCCCATCCAGAGCTGTGTGGAAGAGAATTCCAACTTACCTGTATCATCTAGGCCAGGTATCACTGAATTACAAGGTACTGGAAGAACGGATGTTCATTGGTTTAATAGTGTGAGGGCAGATAACCATTATGTCTTTCCACTGGAGTCAGATCTGGACCTGATGAACATCTCTGGAAATGGGCAGAAACAATATGATCAGGTTCAGAATCACTCTAGATATAGAAATATCCATTTACAAGGGAATAATGATCACTTCTCACATCATGGTACTCAACCAACAATGCGGTTGATGGGTAAAGAGTTTATAGTTGGTAAAAGTAGCCAAGACTTGGAAGGATTTGAGGATGAAAAGGTTTGGATGGATAAGCAAATTATAGCAGAACATCATCCTGCTGATACTGCCACCGACAACTCCTCAATAAAGAGACAGTTTCAGCAGGACCTGATGGTTCATCCAGTATCTAGAACATTGAAGCAGTCTGTAGATTGTATGTCAGAAATTCAAATCAATCAGGCATCACATTGTGTCATGCCGATGAGACCTCCAGAGTTTAGGTTTTCTCACCCATATCTCAACTGTCAAACTAATATAGTTTACCAAAATGGCTGTGGCACCATCAACGGAATTCCAAATTCCAAATCACTTCATTCTTCTCCAGCTGTTTCCCCTGCAGGCTTTAACTGGTCGCCCACCTTTCAGGAGCCCTTTATATCCGGATATGAATCTTCAAAAGTCAAATCTCAAATACCAATACAGGCACCTCCTGCTCACTATACCTGTCAGAAAATGAGTTCAAATTTTGCTGAACTTGAATACAAGCAGAAACTACCATACGCTACCAAATCACTGTTAGAATTTCCTTTCCTGCATCCTGAATGTGGAGAGCATGCTAACCTATCTCGGTTTCAAAGCTCTTCTAAGAGTCAGCCCCCATGGTTGTCAAATGCCACACAACAGAAGGAAACTTCAGTTGGTTCTTTCCGAACATATTCTCATGCTGGTGGTTGTCATCATCCCTGCACTATATCTGGAGCTAACCCTAGAAATGTCCTTCCTGTGCACCATAGACCAGAGGTTTCTTATGCGTGCAATCCTTTGTCTTCTCACTCTTCATTGCAGGACTTACTTGGTTTGAATGCTTTGGGTCACCCTCCTTTCATTCCTGTCCGCCCCGGATGTATACCAACTTCTGCAATATATAATAGCTATGGAGAAAGAATGAAGTCGAAAGTATGTGCTAAGGATCCTAATAATGGCAAGAAAACCAAAAAGAGGCCTGCAACTAAATCAGATGATTTTGAAAAGCCCAGTAAGGTACCTAACTTGGAAATTCAAGACGACTTTATTGCTGCAACAGCATTGAAGGCTGGTGGAAACTTTGGAGGTGATGTATATTTTAGCAGAGAAGCACTTGGACTAGATTCAAACATAGAGAAAGGAAGCAATTTAGGATGTTTCCAAAATGATACTGAAGAGGATGGACTGAGAGTCTCACCTGGGATTGATTCGTCTAAAATGGACCTAATGGCAAGATCAGGTCCCATCAAGCTAAGTGCAGGAGCAAAGCACATCCTTAAGCCCAGTCAAAATATGGATGAGTGTAACTTCAGGCCAACCCATTCAACTATCCCTTTTGCTGTAGCATGTAGTTCTGTTCAGACTTTCGAGGCTCAGAAGAAATCAGCCAAGATCTACAAGTTTTAGGGTAAGCTTGATAACCTTTTGACATATTTAGTTTTTCATACAGATCTTCTGTTGGTTCATAAATATGACATTTTGTAACGCAACAGGAATGCTTCTTTCTGCGGAATTCCCTACTAAACTTATTTGAAGGACCTCCGTCCGTTCAAGTGACATTTTGTAATGCAACAGGAATGCTTCCTTATTCCAGCCTCCAGGATACGAGGCTCATCATATCTCAGATTACTCTTGGGCTATCAAGTTTGTTTGAAATGTAAGATTTCATTTTCCATCATGTTGTCCATTCTACAATGGCTGGAATTATGTGACCACAGCAGGGCATTCGAACTGCCCCATGTTGTGTTGTTAAATTATGCTCTCTGTTTCTTATCAGGTATTTTCCCAATTCTATGTAGATGACATACTAGCAGTGGTTTTTGTGCTAGCCTTCTCACACTTCTCTTGGGTATTATTAAAACCGTCTCTTATTTATTTTTTGCTTGAAATTGTTGGTGAGACAATTATATTGTTCTAATTATTTGCATGGAAGTAAGCCTGCCTTTTCGGCCAATGTGAGGTTAATAATGTGAGCTCTAATTGGGAAATCATTTGGCACTTTCCATTGAAAGAGGAAGAAGTAATTTTTTACTGATTTTTTGTTTACATGACAACCGCATTTCTTTTCATTCATTATATTATACGTAGTATTATAGTTCTATGATCTTTAGATGATTCTTCATCTATTAGAAGACTACATAAAAGCATATATAAAAAGAAAGAAAAATAAATGATGATTTTTTTTTTTTTAATTTTTTTTTTAATTTTTATGTCAATAATATCTTATTTCTGTGTAGTATCAATTTGTGTTTTCTAGTAATACATTATGTAACAGTTGTGATTGGAATTATTATGTTTTTTAGTGGAACCACTGGGAAGTAGCTCAAGTTCACAACTGAAGCTCATGACAAGTACACTTTTGATGATCTGTGTTAGAGAAAATGAGCAAATGAGTTCATGGTCACACTGAAGCAGCTTCTGGCAGTAACACCATATCTCTGACAAAAACCATTAAAAAGTCTAGCTCACTGGATTCATCAATCCCACTGTTGGATGGGAGTGGCTTCTTATAGTGTGTATGTTGCTAGCTAAGTAGATGATTGATAATTTAGTTGCACTTGGTTTCTTAGGAGTTTAAGGGCAGTAAAGATGTTTTGGTTGTTTTTGTTAATGTATAGAGATATATTACTGGGGTTAGATTTCTCACTTTTTATATGGGCAAAGTTCAAAAAAAATAAAAAATAAAAAAAATAAAAAACTCCTTCATATTGTTAACACTCATGTACCATGTTGTGCATACAAGTCCCTAAAGTTTTTTCAAATGTTGCAAATAAGGGCAAGCCCTAGAAAATTGCCCGTTGTTGAGTCATGTATGGCTGCAAATGAGCCGAGCCGAGCCTTGCCTTATGCTACTCGGGCTCGGGCTCTTGGCGAGCTCAAAAAATTGGGCTTGGGCTCAGCATGGTATTAAAAAGTTCGGACTCGGCTCATGTAAGAAAATAAATTGAATTTATATTCAAATTTTGTTCAGGCTCATTTTCGAGCTCGCAAATTCGTTTGGTAAATTATTGTATATTTATTTCATACTTTTAAAAATTAAAGAATTTCATTAAAAAATAAATGTAAATGAATTTTATAACGAGCCTACAGTTAACAAATATAAACGAGCTTATACGAGCTCATGTTTATGAACATAAATGAGTTTGTACGAGCTCATGTTCACGAGCGTACACGAGCTAAGCCCAACATTGCTCTAGATTGGCTTGTTTATTAAACGAGCTTAGAAATCCAACTCGAGTTCGGCTCATTTGTTTAACGAACAAGCCCGAGCCGAGCCCGAACTGTTCATGAACAACTCGGTTCATTTGCAGCCCTAGCTATGTGCATCATTTGGCACCTAAAATTCTAAAATACTCTCTCTCTCTTTTTTTCTTCCAAAAATGCCCCCGTACCTTGGATTTATATACTACTATGTACATGCATCACCATTGATGAACAAAAACTTCAAAATTTATTAATATATTGAAAAAGGTTTTGTGCAATCAATTCCAATAAAATATATATATATAAATTGGGGCTTGTTTGGTTTGTAACTATGGAAACAATTTTTTATTCTTGAAAAATTGAAAATAGAAAATTGTATAAAAAATTCTGTTTGGTTCAGTTTTATGAAAACTCCGTTATAAAAATGTCTGTTTTCAGAGAATAATCTTTTATAGTTTCTTAAGCTATTCTTTGTTTTTTGAATTTCTGATAATTGTTTTCAGAGTTACAAACCAAGCATGTTCTTGATTTTCACAAATACATGAAGAGATGGTTTAGTGAAGATCAAAGTTGGGAGGATGAGGTCGGTGATTGGTTCTCTCGACGAATGACTCTATCTATTAATAAACATATATGTATCCCAGTATACATACATTTCGAGCAGATATCCCATACATAGATTATGATATATCGTACTTGGAAGTATAAATATGCAAAGATGAGAGAGAAGACAGAGAGTAGAGGTGATGGAGTTAATTTTATTCCATGACATATATTATGTGGACTGATTAATGGTGCCCAAGCGACATGAGAGGAGAGGGAGGGAGGGAGGGATGGATGGATGGATGGATTAGGCCATTGAATGCACATAAAAGAGATGATATAGAGACGATGGAGGTTTGACATGAGCTATATGCAGCTCAACTAAGAGAACGTGACCTTATTCATTCAACGTTTGAGGACCATGCCTCATCCTCCATATATAACTCTACTCTAACAACTTCCTCATTTATACAAACCATAAAAGAAATTTATATAATCACTGCAACAGTTATTGTTTTTAAAGTTAATTATTACTAGAGTGGGGTGAGCTGGGTAGCCCATCTGATATGAGAGTTCAAGTTTGACTTACTTATACTCCCCTTAAAAAAAACTATCCGACTACAGGCACAAAGAATTGATCTCTTGCTCCCCATCAATTTCTATTATGAGCAAATATATATAAATTAAGTAAAAATATATTCATCAAATAATCATACTAGTTAGACAATTATTATTTTTAAATATTTAGAGAGCTTATAATTCCGTAAAACTTCCTAGATGTTGTTAAACAGTTACTAGTATTATGGTGGTATTCAAACGGCCTTTCCCCTTGATTTTGGGCCTTCTAAAAATTTGAAAACAAAGTTGGGAACCTAGTAAGAGTAAAAAACAGTAAATTGTTTGAAAGAGAACTTGGTCCAAATTCTGCGAAAGCCCAACCCAATAGTTGACTCAAATTGGCCCGTTCATATTGGCATATACATATGTTAGGGTATATATTTCGTCGGGTTCGCGCCCTCACCAAATTAGCTTCTAATTCCAATTTTCCATATCTACCACTGAGGTGAGATTTGTGTGTGTGTGTGTGTGTATAAGTGTAAGATTCTCAGAGACAGAACCCTAACCTTAGAACTCAAGCCATTCAATCGCCTTATCTCACTTGTCAGCAACTTGAGATTCTTCATAATTTGTACGCTCTAAAACCCTCTCTCTCTCTTTCTCGTTGTTAGATACGCATTGGATGATGATGATTTTACAGTTTTTTTATTTTATTTTTATAGTTCGAATCTTTGAATTGGTTCTTTTGAATCCGAAATCCGAATGCTATTGTTATTACGTTCTATTTTATTTGTGTTTCGTGGCGGTTTTAAGATCGCTGTTCAGGTCCCGATCCAATGTCCATAGGGTTTTAAACGGGTACTGCTGACCCGGTTGAAATTTGTACCCACATGCATGATCGGGTTGCTCTGGTCTGGTCACTGGTATATAGACTTGCCCTGATGATTTGACCCATACGGCAATACCTCTTCACCAAACCCAGTGGAGCTACTGGGTCCGATGGATCTGAGTTTTAAGGAGGGTTGGGCTATATATATATATATATATATATATATATATTAAAGCCTTGTGGTCTGTGTGTGGAAATTGGTGCGTATGAGGGTTGTACTGTCACTTGGAAATTTGGAATCCGTTTGGCTAGCAAAGCATGCTTCTTTTTGTTGTCTTAGAGTGATTTACATGTGATGTTACTCTCTAATATATATATATATATATATATATATATATATATATTTAAAAATAAAAAAAAAAAAAAAAATTAATCTGTGATGCTGGCTTGAACTTTTGGATTGTCTTATTTAATTACTACTGCTTTAGTTCTGCAAAGCTAAATAATAGCTTTGTTGTGTGGTCATATTGTTAACTACGGCTTAATATCAGCGTAATTCTTATTGTTACTACATTTGACTTACTCCGTCGTCAGCCATGCACAATATTACTGCTGTGGTGTGCTGCAATTATACAATTGAACCTTTTCTTTTGGAGGTTCTAACGAACTACAATCACGTGGACAACTTCTAAAACAATATTATTCTGTGGCATGCTGTGGTGATTAATTTTTGCACTATTGCCTTTTGTTGTATTCTGTAACAAATGCATGCATTAAGATCTCTCCATGTCTTAAATATATGGCCTTTTTGCCGTTTCCAGTTCAAATTAACATCTACCAAATCTGCCACAGACTCGAGTCATACAAGTCTCTTCTCAACTATTTACTATTTAGAGTCGGTTACATGAATGTTGTTTTCCCATTCTGCTTTACTTAAAGATTGATTTCCGTTTAAATAGTATTTTATTGTATCTTTTCTTAAATTTTTGGTCCTTCATTTAGCATAACTCTCAATGCATTACCCTCAATGTAAATCACCCCACTTTACCTGTGCAGCTATTGATTTTGATCATTTTGTCAAACATGCACACCGCCTTAGTCGATTCTCTTATTTTATCTTTTATAGGTGTTGCTCCAATCAGTCACCACTGTAATCATTTTTCAGTTTGTCATTTCTTGTCTAACCATACATCTATCTCAACATTTGCATTTTGGCTATGCTCATTTCATGAACATGTCATCTCTTAGTCATCACATTTTGTAATACACATTTAATTTTGTTAATGTGTATGCACATGCATGGACCTATATGCAACTCAGTGGGGGCAATTTTTCTATTTTTACTATTATACCCCCATTAATATTTCCTTTTTGAATTATATACCTATAAAATTTCACTATTGCCCTTCTCTCATAATTTTCTGGGTTCGTCTCTGTGTACGCATATGAAAGGATTTTTGAGCAAATCTCAAAAATACAATTTTTAGAGAATTTTATATTATTTGTATTGCATATCTTGAATTGTTCAAATTGTACATTTATTCATATGCAAATAGAACAGATATATTCTTTTTTGATAAGTGCAAATAGAAAAAATATATTCATGCTGATTTAGCTAATCCATTGAATTAATATGCTGAAAAACTTATTTTGCTATTGGCAAGTTTGTGTTGCATACTTATAATTAACAAGCATTATTATTACACAACTGCCTTACTTCAATTAGGCTTGAGCCTTGTATTGTGCGTTGCGCTTAGGCTCCAGAATACCTTTGGCGCCTTAGCGCACCTTGAGCCTTTAATAACCATGCCTCCCTACAACCAATGTTATTTCTAGATCCTTGTCCAGCATGTACCATCTCATACTGGCTAAAGTTCTTCTTACATGACCACTATAGTCTCCTAGAAATAATTACTTGCCTTTGAGTGGCTTTGAGTAATTCATCAATATGGTTCCAAATCATGCTTTAATTCGTATATATGTGGTCTAGTATATCTACTTTGTTTCGTCTTTTATTGATATTAAGTTTTGCTAGTTTGAATGGAAGACAATGTCTTAGAAAAGAAATATTTAACGCCTTTGTGTGAGGCATGTATTATTATGCACGGTAAGACGACATAAAGTAAACAAAAGACCAGACACATGGTTTTTTTGTCCTAGTTGACACATGGTTTTCATAGAATTAGCGGAGGCATATGATAGATTTTTAAGGGATTTCATTTGGTGGGCTTTAAAAAGGAGACAGGTTCTGAAAAAACATTAAAGATACTTTTAAGGAGACAAAGACTAGGGTTCGTAAGATATGCGGAGAGACTAGTGATTTCTCTGTAAAAGTTGGGTTAAACCAAGGTTAGCGTTAAGCCCATACCTACTTACAATAATTTTAGATGAAATAACAAAGAATACCTTAGAAGACATTCCATGGTTCATGTTGTCTGCTAATGACATAGTCCTATTGGATACTTTTAAGGAAGTCTTAGCAATAAAATTATAATATGGAGAAGTACTTTAGAGGCGAAAGGCCTAAAACCAATAAACTAAAAAAGATGACAATATAACTAATATAAATTAATATCAAAAGATTGCTAAATATAGTTATTTTAGAAACTTAGGGTCACTAATACAAAAGGATGGGGAGATAGATGGTGATGTAATAAGTAGGATTGGAGCAGGTTGGACAAAATGGAGACAAGCCAGTTGTATCTTATGTGATAAACGAATATCAAATAAATCAAAAGAAATTTTTATGGGACGGTTATTAGATCAACGATAGTATATAAATTGAATTCAAAAGATTGCTCAAAATAATTATTTTTGAAACTTAGGGTCACTAATCCGAAGTATGGGGACATAGATGGTGATGTAATAAGTAGGATTGGAGCAGGTTGAACGAAATGAAGACTAGCCAATTGTATCTTACGTGACAAACGAATATCAAATAAATCAAAAGAGAATTTTTATAGGATGATTATTAGATCAACAGTATTATATGAGGTGTTATGTTGGGCGTTAAAAAAGAAACAAGAACAACACATTCATGTATTTGAAATGATAATGCTAAGATGGATTATTAGACTAATTACAAGAGATAGGATTAAAAATCAATGTATGAGCAACTAGGAGAAGGTCTATTAATGATAAATTAAGAGAAAAAAGACATAGGTTGTATGGTTATATACAACGTAGATTCATAGATGCACCTCTGAGAAAAGGAAAAATTGTTTGCATAGAAGGTAAGAAATAGAGGCCGACCAAGACTCATATGGGACGAAGTGATTAGAAATGATTGTTAAAATAATAATAATCATAATAATAATAGGAGACATGGCTTGTAATTGAAAAAAAAAAGGAAAATGAGAATTCATGTGCCAACCACATTTATATTAGATAAAAGCAAGGATGATGATGAGGATGAGGAGTAGTAAAACGTCATAAAGTGACTTTGAAGTAAATGGGTTATGCATAATATGGTATGACTAAAGTGCCGTCAGGCAGCCTGTTTGGTAGATAGATATCCTCAAAACTGAGAAGGAAGTTACTTTGACCAAAAAGGGGTAGTTACGGTGTGGTACATTGACTAGTATGTGATATATATATATATATAGAGAGAGAGAGAGATGGCTGGGGACATTGGGTAGCTATTTTTGAAGTTTCCAAATTGGTTTTAAAAACCTTTTGAAAAAGTAGTTAACAAGAGGGAAAAATTCTTTTTAGCTGATGGAACTTTTAGGAATGATATGTAAATAATTTTCTTTAGCGTCCTTTTTGGTGCAATTGCAAAAGCTCGAGGATGTGAGTTCGTGTCTGAAGCAACAACTTTTTGCAAAATAATGCCAAATGTTAGGTTTGTCTCCTCCCAAAACACGCATGATGGGACCACACAATGTAAGGCCTTTTAAGATAAATAATTTTCCTTATATCTGATGCTCCAAAACTTTTATCTTTTGCTTTTGATAAAAAAAAAAAAAAATTTATGTACACTCAGTAGAGTCATTGGCTCATTGCTACAGGTATATTTGTTACTACACTTTTCTGAGTTAATGCCAATATGATGCTTTAAGTAGCTTTGGAAACATTCCAATAGTCTTGGCAGTCACCTTGCCTTTAAAGAATACAGTTTTAGCAAAAAGATATGCTTTTTTATTCTTATTGTAACATGTCAAAAAATTTAGCTGCATCCTAACTTTACCCTTTGCATTGAACATTTAAACTTCGTAATTCAATGTGAAACCACAAGCTTCATTTGATTTGTCATGCAGCCTTTTAATTACCATTTGTTGAGGCCTAGATTAAGTATTCTAGTACAGTGGTCACCTCCAACTGTGACTAGTCTGTGTCTTTAATATTGCTTACCAACTTATACAAAACTATAAATTCCCTGCTTTTGGCCTTTGTTATTATTTTTGTTTCGTATCTCACTGTTTGTTAAATTCCTTGTACCTCTTTTTAGTGTTTTTTTCTTACTATAAATTCCCTGCATGTGGCCTTTGTTATTATTTTTATTTCATAACTCACTGTTTGTTAGATTCCTTGTACCTTTTTCTAGAGTTTTTTCTTTCCACCCTAACCCTAACCCAAGCCCCACCCCCAACCCCACCCCCCCCGGGGTCTTCTGTCGCGCGCGCGCATGCGTAATTGAGAGATCTTTTAGTTGAGGTTGCTGGATATTTTCCCTGAGCATATTATCCAAGTGATATATATATATATATTTAGAATTTGTTGAGGTTGGTGGATATTTTCACTGGGCATATTATCCAGAAAATGATATAAAATCCTTTGACATGACTAGATGAATGTCTGCACCATTGTGGATGTGTTAAAATTTTATTTGCAAATGTATTTGCTTGTCTTATTTAAAGCATTTGGATTCTAATCGGGGGCTAGCTGGATCTCACCTTGGTGAAGGATGGGTACGGTGTTCACTGTGAGCTGTTTAATCGGTTCAATTATAGCTTTCAGTACAAGTTTGTTTCCTCACCCTGGTGATGGATCCATGAAGTTTGCACTATGAGCTGTTTTGATTCATTTGATCATGGCTCAAGTCTAATTTGTGGTTGCTCTAGATTTAGGGATTTTTGAATTATTTTGGCAATATTCAGGTGATTGAGTGAACACTATGCAAGTTTCATGATTTGAGGTAAATATGTTAGAATGTTAGCTTTTGTGTAGAATAAGAACAAAAATACTCCCTCCATCCCAAAATTCTTGACCATCTTTCTATTTTGGGATGCCCCAACATACATGTCCCATTCCAAAAATGGATGTACAATTTTTAGAACATTCCCAAACTATCCTTTTGACATTGATTTGATTAAACAAGTTCACTAACTGCAGAGTACTCCTTTGTCTTTTAACAAGGATAAATTTGGAAATTCACTCTTATCAATACAATAAAAAAGTATTAAAAATTCACTACCATAAAAAGTTGGATTCCCCAAACACCCCAAGAATTTTGGGTCAGAGGGAGTAGCTTTTATGTAGACTAAGGCTTTTTGTCCTAGCTTTTGTTGTAGTATCATACTCTATAAGTTCATTTTACTAATGTCGAGCATGAGGTAGAGGTCTCAGTGGCATTTTTATTAGATATTTTGCTGGACAAGTGTATGTAAATCCTTTGATTTCTGGATTGGAGTAAAATATCTGTTCTTGTTTAACTTGTCTTTAGATTTGGATGGCTCAATCCAAGATTAGTAGATGAGATCACTTTTCACGAATGGTTTGGATGATGATACAGCAGAACAGTTTTAAGATTGTGATTTAGCCTAGTGGATGATCTTATGGCTGCAATTGAATGTGTTGTTTTGATCAATGCTGACCCTTGCAAATATTTGATTTGAGACCAGAAATTTGGAAGTTCCAGCATTGTGGACTTGAGTTCCATGAGCTGTTGGGCTCGGAAACAATCACTAAAAAGGAAGAGAAGAATGGAAAAAATTACTCAAATTTGAAATTTTATTCTCCAAAATATTTTAAACTATATTAAAACACTTTAGAACTTCTCAATTCACCTCATACTTATGCAAGTTTTTGGCCCAAGAGTTACTTCTCCGACTATTTTTTAGTTGTTTGGACCCTAATTACAACTCATGCCAATAAACAAGAATAAAACACACTACACTAAAACCTGTAATCCCATCCAGTCCTCAACTTAACTAAAGTTCCTAAAACACCCTTGCAACAAGATAGATCAAATCAAACTATTCCCTCTCCCCACTTTCCAAGGCACTATCAACAGTCCTTTGCACCCCAAATAACCTCAGAACTTAGTCCATCAGATTAACTCATGCAAGCTCTTGAGAACTGTCACAGTTTTGGATGAAATATTGATGTCCAGGATTTTAGTAATCATCTAGGAATATCTTGCTCATTCATTACAAACATAATGTATTGTTTTGAGTTCAAGGAGGCTGAATTGCTAGAAAGTGAAAGCATTTCAATAAAATTCAAGCGCCATGCAATTTTGTGGTGGGATCATGTGGAAAGTACTTGGATGAAAGAAAAACATTGTTTTCCCCGGTTTGTCTGGGAGAACCAAAACTTGTAGTTGGTTATGATACAAAAGCGGTGGTAGGGACTTTTTTTTGTTAAAAAATATATATCAACCTTGTTTGGAGTTTTTCATCCAATTGCCAAGGGGATATCATGGCAAAGCACATGGATGAGTTCTATCCTTCTTGGAATATCAATTCCCTAAGAGAAACCAGAGTTAGTTAATTTCCATTACATCAGTAATCCTTAGGAGGTAATCAAAATTGAGATTGCCTTGTATACTTCTTGTTCTAATTAATTAAACAGGTCTGTAAGCATCCTAATGAATTTAAAAAAAATGTTAGTTGTTGAAATTAGTCGCTGGGGTCCTCTTGAGGAATCCCCTTCAAAATTAACGCACTAAGGTTCTCTGAATCCATGCATGGCATTATTTTTGCTTTATATTTTATTTTTTTGCCAATGCACTTCTCATGTCATTTAATAGAATCATGGATGACGGTTCCTATCATTTTTATATTGGAGTATTGGTAGCAGATTGCTTTTGTATTTTGTATCCACCTCTTCATGACAACATCTCCTCTCTCTCTCTCTCTCTCTCGCTGTTTGGGGAATGAAAAAGTTTTAAACCTTTTTTGGAAGCAGCGGGCGTGTTTGTGGAAATGAATGATATTAATTTCTAACACTTTTAACTTTTATCCATAATCCCATATACTAGAAAAATATTTGAAACTGTTCCCATGGCTTAAATTTATGTGTTTCATTGTGGCTTTGGATGGTAGTGTGTTTTATTTGATGGTTGTAGCAGTTTTCTATATATTTTGTCGTTTGTGTCCATAAAGAAACTTAGTTTGGTGTTTTAGTAACAATGAAAGTTTGTTTACTAAACTAATATACTTGCATTTCATTTTTATGTCGTGTAGATTTTGGTAAAATATCAGGTTCATGCCATGGAGATACCAGACGAGGCAGTCATTATCAATTCTAGTAGGTTAAAATCTGTTGTATGGAACGATTTTGATAGAATTAAAAATGGTGACACTTGTGTGGCTGTTTGTAGGCATTGTAAAAAGAAACTTAGTGGTTCAAGTACTAGTGGAACATCACATTTACGAAATCACTTAATCAGATGTCGGAGAAGATCAAACCATGACGTAGCTCAATTGCTTACTAAGGGAAAGAAAAAGGAAGCAACCGCTGCTCTTTCAAATTTTAGTCTTGATCAAGAGCTGAGAAAGAGTGAACAGTTTTACCCTGTGAATACCAAATTTGAACAGGAGCAGACAAAAGATGGATCCATCAACATTGGAAATAATAATTTTGATCATAAGCGAAGTCGGTTTGATCTTGCTCGCATGATCATCTTACATGGTTATCCTTTATCTATGGTTGATCACACTGGATTCAAAATATTTGTTAGAAATCTCCAGCCTTCGTTTGAGCTTGTGACATGCAATAGAGTTGAGGCTGACTGTATTGAAATTTATCTGAAAGAGAAACAGAAGGTGTATGAGGTGTTGGATAAATTGCCCAGTAAAATCAGCCTTAGTGCTGATATGTGGTCTACTAGGGAAGACACTCAGTACTTGTGTTTGACAGCCAACTACATTGATGATGCTTGGCAGTTAAAGAAGAAGATTTTGAATTTTATAATGGTTGATCCTTCTCATACGGAAGACATGCTGTCTGAAGTTATCATGACCTGTCTAATGGATTGGGATATTGATCGAAAACTGTTTTCGATGACATTTGATAGTTGTTCCACCAATGACAACATTGTACGTAGAATTACAGACCGGCTTTCGCAGAACAGGTTTCTTTTGTGTAAGGGTCAATTGTTTGATGTACGTTGTGCTGCAAATTGTATCAAGTTGATGGTTCAAGATGCTCTGGATGCACTATCTGAGGTAACACATAAGATTCGGGAAAGCATTCAGTACGCGAAAAGCTCACAAGCAACTCAAGAAAAGTTCAACGAGATGTGTCAGATAGCTGGAGTTGATTGCCAGAAGTGCGTTTTATTTCTTGATAATTCATTGCAATGGAATTCAACATATTCCATGCTTGAAGTTGCTCTAGAGTATAAAGATGTGTTCTCTCTCCTCCAAGTACATGATTCCATCTACACAACATGTCCATCTAATATAGAGTGGGAAAGAGCAAGTGTCATTACTAGCTACTTGAAGCTCTTTATTGAAGTTTTTAATGTTTTCACAGGGAGCAGGTATCCTACTGCAAATATATATTTTCCTGAGATTTGCCATATTCATTTGGAGTTGATTGAATGGTGCCAGAATTCAGATGTTTATATTAGTTCTTTAGCATTGAAGATGAAAAGCAAATTTGATGATTATTGGAAGAAATGCAGCCTGGCTTTGGCAGTTGCAGCCATCTTGGATCCCCGATTCAAGATGAAGGTCGTGGAGTATTACTATCCACAGATTTATGGCAGTAGCGCTCCAAATTGCATTGATATTGTTTCTAATTGTACGAAGGCCCTTTATAATGGGCATGCTATCTGCTCCCCATTAGCTTCTGGTGGTGATGGTCTGGCTTGTCATGTTGGTAATGGTGCTGGTAATGATTCTAAGGATAGGCTCATGGGTTTTGACAGATTCCTTCATGAAACTTCACAGAGTCAAAACATAAAATCAGACTTAGACAAGTACCTGGAGGAACCTCTTTTTCCTCGTAATGTTGATTTTAATATCTTAAATTGGTGGAAGGTTCACACACCAAGGTATCCCATCCTATCTATGATGGCACGCAATATTTTGGCAATATCCATGTCAAATGTTTCAATGGAGTCAGCTTTTGATACTGGAGATAAAGTGCTAGATCATTGTTGGAGTTCACTAAGATCGGAAACTGTGCAAGCTTTGATGTGCGCTCAAGATTGGATGCAAAATGAATCAGAAGGTTAGTTGATATTTATTGTTTCATATCTTTAGAGTTTCTCTAATTTTAGTAAGTGACTAACAATTTTGGTTTACATTACCGTGTCAGATTCCAGATATTCCTCAAGCCATTCTACCTTGGCGCTTTGCTATGATGCAAATTAACAAGTTTTTGGTATGCTTCTTTGGTTACCTTTGCGATCTTCTCATCGAGTATTTAGATATCTATCTGAAAACTCATATCTTATTTCAAATTCAATGTAGATATTTTTGGGTCATGTAAACATCACCTTTTCATATGGAGCTGGTTTAGGAATTTGAAATATTGTCGCAAAACCACTTTTTCCTTAGATGGAAGTGTAAGCACTAAAGTGAATTGCTTCCTTTTTAGGATCTAGCTTGAATCTAGAATCGGTATTTTCTGTATTTGATTGATGTTGGGGTTTGTGTATGAAGACGGATCCATATTAATGCCAGCAGGAACTTATCATTCCAATGCTACTGGATACTTAAAACGGTTGTTAACAAACCCAACATCAGCTCTTGTTTGAACTTTTTTTGTGAACCTTTTTTCCCAGCTACTTTCGAGCGAGAATTTGACAATTTGTGGAAATTATACAAAAGAAAAAAAAGAAGAAAATATGATGTGAAAGTTGAGGGGGCCAGGTTTGATAACTTAGTATCATAAGCTGTGGCAGTAATAAGTTGGAGTTGGTTGGAAAAACTACTATGCTTTTGTTCCGGTGAGTGAATGGGCATCTGTAGTGTGGTAACTGATTGAAAAGTGTGTTGAATCTGGATACCAGGTTGGAAAGAAATTTGCAGGTACGCATGGATTTATTGGTCATTGAAACTACTCGTCTTAGCTGGGTCTGGGTTCTTTATAGTGTGAGATGGTATTTTTTTTGGATGTCTACATCATCCATCCAAATGCATGTCTGTCAAACTGTTATTAAAACTGTTGTTTTCGGTAACACTGTTATTTTGTTTGCCTTATATTAATGTGTCCCTAATGAGTGTAATTCTGAAATAAAGACTGGTAGTTCTCTTCTGGAAGAAGATAAATGTTGGGGAGGGTTAGAATTAGCCTCTCCTATATGTTTGTCTAGTTGATGAATGTAGAACTTGAAATTCTTCGTCGGGAAGTGTCATGAATTGTATGATATTTCTTGAATTATTTATTCCTTTGAAGTAGTGAAATCATGTTAACTAGTTTAGTTAGATGGAAATAACAAGAAAAGAAAGGAAATTGTTTTTTTTTTTTTTGGATAAAACGAATGATTTAATGGGTTTAGGATTTGACAGAATCAAAATGGGATGAATTTGGTCATAGTTGAAAAGTTAAAGAGGGAGTTTGCACCACTTATGAACTTGTGTCATGGACGCTTGGCACTTGAGACAATCTGTGTCTCATTGGAGTGGTAGTTTGGCATTATTTTATTTCAAAAATGTGAATGTGAGAACAGAATGATATGTAAGCTTTCTGGTGTATCAAATTGACATAATAGAGATAGCAGCCAGTATTTTTGCTTCAAATTCAAATTTGGTTACATCACATTTGTTGGGTGGTCAAATTCACGGACAAAAGGGGTTCTCAACAACTCCGTAATACTTTGGTTACATCACATTTGTTGGGTGGTCAAATTCACGGACAAAAGGGGTTCTCAACTACTCCGTAATACTTATCTTCTCTTGTATCACGTTACAGTTGCAAGCAAAAGAGGAGGGATGGAAGAGTTATAGAAAGAAAAAATAAAATAAAATTCTATTATCTTCTCTTTTATTCAACTGAAAAAAAGAAGAAAATATACAATTACTTTCGTAATAATGTCTCATTCATCCATTCTTCTCTTCCTTCCATCTAATTTTTTTTCTTTCCTACCGAGCATAGCACTATGCTCCGTTTGGAGGATGGATGAGTCATCCTTTATGTTAGATTATAAAAGTAATATAATATCTTTTACCTACAAACTATTTACACTTATCCAGTTACCATGTATACCTTCACCTACCTAATTATCATGTATAGATGACTTGATCATTACCTATTTAATACAATAATATATTTATTCTCTTTCAATATTTCTAGTACTTCATATTTCACAAATTTTATTCCCTCTGACGTAATTTTTTTTTTTTTACAATAATACTTCAACATTTGGATAACAAGAATCAGATGCGAGCGAGTTCCTTTCAACAGACAGCCGAGGGAATGCCTCGGAATAGCCATTCTATAACAGACGTAGATCTTTTCTATTGACTGAAAAACTGAAATCTGAGTCTCTCATCCTATTATGGTCCTCAGTTAGAATGTACACTGTTCTCATCATCGTTTCACCTAGATAATTTGGTAACTAGGGTTTGGCAATGAAGGGCGAGGGCGGTGTACATTCTTTCGAGAATATAAGTATTGTCAAAAAAAAAAAAAAAAAAAAAGAGCCTTATCCTCTTAAAAAGTTAGGCTCGCTTGTATTGTATTTCCCAAAATAATTTTATGTTTTCTACTTCGATTTTCGAATAGAAAAATATTTATTTTGGTATGAAATTCTAACTATTATCGGAAAATCTTCACGGCTACATACCACATTATACTGCATATAAATATTCACCTTATATTTATTGGGGCTAAAGGGGTAAGAAATTAACAATATTCATATATTCATTCCATGGATTTAAAAAAAAAAAAAAAAAAAAAAAAAACAGAGCAGAGGTCGGTCGCTATTAGTAATCACTCAGCTAAACCCTGCAATTTGCAAATCTAGGGTTTAGTGTGTGGTGTAAACCGTGTAATACATTTGCTTTAGTACTAGGGTTTTGTCGGTGGAGTAGAGTGGTGTGGTGTGGTGTGGGTTTGAACTTGAAGAAGCCGCAGCGACCCATCGGCATTACTGATTAGAAGAAGAAGAAGAAGATGTCAGACTTCTTCCCAGTCCTACCTAGAGATGTGGTCATGGATATCCTTGCTAGATTACCCCTCAACACTCTCGTCCGATGCACCTCTGTGTGCAAATCATGGTACTCTCTCCTCATAAACCCTAGTTTCATCACCAAACACCTCAACCTTAACCTCAATCGATCTCCGCACCTTCGAATAGTTCGAAGCTACTCTGATTCTAATTCTCGAGAGCATTATTCAGTACGTTACGACGATGACCAAATTTTCCCCGAGTATGCAAAGCCTCACTTCCCATTGAAGAGCCATTGTAGCCATTATTTTAGGATAATCGGTGTATGCAATGGCCTCATATGCCTCTCCGACGATCAGTTTACGTATGTCAATGAACTCTTTCTCTGGAATCCTGCCATTCGAAAGATGATGCCCCTTCCACGAGTTCGTGTCACCTTTCAATCGCATGGTCCATTCCAGCATACCATTGGCTTCGGTTTTGATCCCCTCACCCATGATTACAAGGTCATCCGGATTGTGCATCTCGTGTATGATTTCTACAACCCACCGAAGACTGAGATTGACATTTTCAGTCTCAGCACCGGCACTTGGCGCAACATCAGTCATGTCCCTTTTCCTCTTCCAGATATCATCATCAATGAGCGGGCTCCCCAGGCTTTTCTCAAAGGGGCTGCCCATTGGATTGCTTCCTCTAAATCATCGCGTAGTTATGCCTTCGGCTTCTTGATCTTGTCCTTCCACATGGCTCATGACCAATTTGGTCAAATTAAGCTGCCTCATAACATCACTGAAGATGCCAATCCCTACCTCATGGCAGGTATTGGTTTTCGTGTTGCTAAGTTTCAAGAATCACTCGCTCTCATGCACCTTACTGGTACTTATCGAGACCATACTTGCTGCATATGGGTGATGAAAGAGTATGGCGTAGCCGAGTCTTGGACCAAACAATTCAATATTGATATCACTGGATCATTCAGTAGTGTAGCTGGCTTCACAAGGAAAGGTCAACTTCTACTCCAAAATTCTGCTGGTTACCTGGTAGCTCATCATCCCCAACCCGAACGATTAACGGATCTTTTAATTCATGGCTCTACAAATTCAGCGTATTTGCACACCTCATTTTATGCAGATGCTTACACGGAGAGCCTAGTTTTACTTGGAAACAGATTTTCTGAAACTACTGGCACTTCTCCTCAGGAATCATCACCTGGGGCTGAGGATGTTAAAGGAGGGAGTGGAGCTGAGGAAAACAGGCAAGAAGCACAGTGTCACTTATACTTACATACATTTCATATTTGCTAGTATTTGCTCATTTCTATTATTGCTTTGCTAATTTCTATTATTGCTTCTTATGAATGTCAAACCACATTTTAATATATTTGTTATCATTACCTTAGCAGGACGCTTAAACTCAAAAGTTTTATGGCCAATAATTGTTGGAGTAATAATTATTGTACATCTTGATATCGCATTGTGTCATTTGTGCAAGAAATGTTGTCTTTCAGGTTTGTGACTGGGGTGAAAAATGAAAATGAGGAAACAAGTGAAGATGGAGGAGAACTATAAAAAAGAGTAGAAGTTGCATAGTGAACTCTTCCTTTGCTTTCAGTTAATTTTACTTTGCTTACAATATATAAACTATATATCAATGTAGTTAAAAACTTTCTTTGTGAAAGATCTAACTCACTCAAGATGCTTGTAACTCTTGGAGCATTTAGGTTTGATTTGAGCTTTCTTTGGGAAAGATTTAAGTCACTCATAATGCTTTTGAACTCTTGGAGCATTTGGGCTTGATATGCCTGTTATTTGGAAAATATTGTGACTTATCCATTATTGCTTATCTTTTGATGCCATTACATCTTTCTTGATTTTGTTTTACGGTATGAGCCACCTTATAGTATATGAATTAAGCTGTCAAGAGCAGCTTCTTTAGGTTGTGTTGCTGGATTTCGAGAAGCATTGAGAAGTCACTAGTTGGTGATATTTTGTATGAAATCATAATTCGTTTCCCTTTGGCTTGGATGGTGCTCGCCATGGTTATGGTCAGCTTGTTTTCCTTGCTAGCCAGTCTTGAGTTCAAACTCGAGCTACAATTAGCACTATTCACCCCTATTATTCTGCTGCTCCTTTGACACAATTATGGCCTTCATGCCACTTATTACCATGTTTAAGCTCCAACCATTTCTTTTCACCTTCTCTAATTGTAGCTCTAGTTTTCGCTTTAATCTTATGCCCTATTGGAAGGCAAAACTTTAGATCTAGCTCATATAGGAAGTTGCATAACAAATCTGATAATTCTAGTCAACTAGAAAAGAATCTGGCAGTTATACATAGCCCACGTAAGGTCACAAAGTCAGAAGTTGGTTCTCTTCCCTTTGGAGTACTAAGTCGGTTCAGTTCTATTTGGAGAAATAGAGAGATAATTATTTTAAATTAATGTACATATTTTATTCTTGGGCATTGAGTCATGATTGGCTGGTTTTCCAAATTATCCAAGTATTGAAATTTAATTATCTGTCAGTCCCAGGTCCTCTTTTCTCGTGAATATCCTTTCTTTGGGAAACTTTTTTGTCACTCGTGATCCTTTTGAACTCTTGGAGCATTTGGACTTGATATGCCTAATAGATGTTATGCTTAAAATATTGTAAATTATCCATTATTGCTATCTTTCTTTTGTTGTCATTATATATTTCTAGATTTTGTTTTATGGTATGAACAACCTTAACTATATGAATTAAGTTGTCAAGAGCAGCTTCTTTAGGTTGAGTTACTGGGTTTCGAGCCAAGCATTGAGAAATCACTAGTTGGTGATACTTTGTACGAAATCATTGCTAGTTTTCCCTTTGGCTCGGATGATGCTCGCCATGGTTATAGTCGGCTTGTTTTGCTTGCTAGCCAATCCTGAGTTCAAACTTTCCTCAGCTGTATCTGCTAATCAGCATGCTTGTAAGCCTAATGGTCAAACAAGGTTTGTTCAAGTTTGGTTCGCTTACTTAATGAGCTCGGAATTGTTAATTAAATTATGCTCGCACTTCGCTAATACACACTGGCAGAACTCTAACGAACTTGGATTTGAGCTGTTTGTAAATTGCTTGTTTCATTTGTACCCGTTCTTACAGGCTAAAGCACCAGTTCCATGTGCCACTGCATAATAGGATTAGCACATCTAATTGATGAAAAGACTATCCTCTAGACATCTGACATTATAGTAAATTAATTAACTTGAATGTATTTCAAGAGTTGTGCTATTCACGCCTTATTATTGGTATGGCCTTCATGCCACTTTAATTCAAGCATGTCTAAGTATCAACCATTTCTTTTCGCCTGCTCTAATTGTAGTTCTAATTTTTATTTTACTCTTATGCCTTCTTGGAAGGCAAAACTTTAAAAGGATCTAGCTCATAGGAAGTTGCATAACAAATCTGATAATTCGAGTCAACCAGAAAAGAACCTGGCAGTTATGGATAGCCCATGTAAGGTCACAGTCTTAAGTTGGTTGTCTTCTTCTTGGAGTACTAAGTTGGCTCTGTTTTATTTGGAGAAATAGAGTGAGATAATTATTTTAAAGTAATGAAAATATTTTATTCTTGGGGCAGGGAGTCATGCTTGGTTGGTTTGCCAATTTATCCAAGTACTGACATTTAATAATCTGTCCTCTTTTCTTGTGAATATCCTCTGTTGGCCTGATACAAATTCGTTTTGATGACACAAATAAAAATCAATTACTTTCCATGTCCATGTGAAACCCACTTCTAGAATTGCTTATACCTTTGTGCTCTAAGTCTTCTGATAGCTACATATCTTCATTGATAGCTCATGCTTTTTATATCCTGTAATTTGAGTTAATACTATCTTTGATGTGATGTGTTTCTTGATGTTATTCTGAGGTACATCAATCTTATATATTGTTGATTCATGAAATTCTATAGTTTGTTTTTTATCTACATGTGGCAAAGGCTTACAATGTAAAAATTGATGACTGTTGAGACTTATGAAATGTGGCTTGGTTGGATGACATGGATCAAGGGAAGAATTCAGAGAAATTATATATATATAGTGTTTTTTTTTTTTTTTTTTTTTTTTTTTCTCATAAATATATGTGTTGTTTTACTAACGATCTCAACTCTGCTTAAAACGTATTTTTGTAAGCAAGGTTATAGTTCTATTTGGCTGCTCTATTGTTTTGGAGCAAAGTGGTAATATCAACTAAGCAGAAAATAGAATCTAATTACCATTGATATCTGTCGAGATGCTGCTGGATTTTCCTGTGCTGCATGAAATTATTTCTCCTGAGAAATTTGATGTTTCCCAGAAATGCTTGTGGAATAGTTGTTGTGATTGAATACTTACAATTGTTTGATGTTTAGGGAATCCCCATCTCTATTGATAGAGAAACTTATCATGTTGAAAGCATGCTCATGAAGACTTCATATTTTTCTGGAAACAGAAAACCTGCTTCTGAAATTGGTGGTGGTTAACTGTCTCCAGTTATGAGAAGGGAAGTTTTCTTTTGTCTGAAAATTTGGTTTTTGTAAACTAGTTGGTATGTCTCTTGCGGAAATTTGGTTTATCTTGAGGTAGATAGATCTATATATTTCAAAAAATTCTCTTCAGGTTTTCACTGTGCAGTTGGAGTATTTTGGTTACACACATGCGCACACACGCAATACCCATGCCCATGCCCATGCCCATGCCCATGCCCATACCTGGAAAAGAAAATTAGGACTGTATCCCTGCACCTCTGAAGAGGGAGTCAGAATCCCAAGATGTGGTTTTGGCACCACTTTGCCTTCTCAACTAAACCCTAGCACAGCTATAATCCTTTTTTGGATGCAATTTCTAAACATATATAATAAAAATTTTGTGAACCATGCATGTGTTTGTCATTGCTTTGCAATGCCTGTTTCTTTGGTCTAATGGAGGATTTTCATTATATTGGAAATTGCAACTCTGTTCATGATCAAGAGTTTGGCTGAATTGGTGATCCTCACATGAAAACAAAACTAGGGCACCTTGCATATACTCATGTTTTAGGAACACCCTCTTTATGAAGGTTGGTTTGGAATTTTATGCATTTGGAAAGGTTCCCATTCAATGTGCATGATCTTGCCAAGATCTCCCCCTTCCCTGGTTTTGCAAAAACTTAAAATAACAAAATTGTTCTACTTACAATATTTCAGAATACTAAATATATTTCTTTCTTTTTCTTGTTTTAGAATCGCTAGATAATATGGCTCTTTATATGGTGCAAAATGTTAAAAGTTATGCCAAATGAATATTAGGACACCGCCATTATAAAAAATAATGCTATAAAATAGGTACCTTTTCATTTTTTTATTTTTTATTTCCCCTTGAACACTATATTTAGATGGGACCACTATTGAATTATTCAATTATGCTATTTATACTTGATGCAATTAGTGTCTTGAATTTGGCAAATAATTGTTGGATTTAAATCGTGAGAGCAAGTATTGAGTCATGTGGCTTGTTGGTGTCTGCCTCTGCACCGATTAGAAGTGTCTTTTTAAGATCCATAAAAGATGGAGATTGGAAATGGTGTATTTCCAACCATGTACGTGAGTACACCTTAGTTTTGTACACTCACGAGAGAAGTCGAAGGAGCTGTTGATTTTCAGGGAAAGTCCAGTTAATTTAATTTTCACATGCACAAATATTTACAGGTTTATTATATGTTTGTGAGGATAATATGTATTTTGGCTTGTTTTCATATATAATCACACCCCTTTCATCATCAATTATTTTCTTTCCATGTCGTCTTGTATTTGTTTTCACTTGTTTTTTTTATATTATTATTTAAATCCAGTTCATATTTCTCTTAAAGGAGAGAAATGTATATAGTAAGATTGTGACAGGAAATATCTCATTTATGGTATTAGGTATGGGCATTGAAGGCCTACTGCACCTTTCACCATCATTTTGATGTTCCAAGGTAAACATCATATATGTTGCAGTTGTGGTCCAGAGCTTTCAAAGAATATTAGTGACCTTGGACTATAGCATGTACTACCTGCACTGGTGGTGTCTCTCTCTCTCTCTCTCTCTCTGTATATGAATGTGTATATGAATGTGGAGAGGAAAACCAAAGGACATTTTCATTTTAGCTGCCATTTGTCTTCATTAATATTTGCTCTGGTTTGTGGGTTGCACCTATATTGATTGAGGGAGTATTGTGGGTGCTACAATGGATATAACATGTAACAAAATTGTTTCTACACAGCAGGAGATATGTAGAACAAAACAAAATAATGGGTTGTAGAGGCAAAGCACATCTATGAATATTATTTTAAGCATGGAGCGGGGGTAATATATGTTTCGAGGAATTGAATGTTTATTTTAGGGGTCTGGCCTGGTGGTTGAGTAGTTGAATACCATTTCATGATGGTCTTCTATGGTCAGTAGTTCAAATGGACATGGTCCTTGAGAATTGTTTAAAGGAAGTTCCTCTTGTTTTTTTTAGGAGTATTATTATTAATTAGGGTCTGAAGATGGAGAGGATTGACAACAAGCAATTTCTAAGCCTGGATAAATTTTTTTTTGGTTGTTGGCGAGAAACTCACACATTTCATTTGAAGACTCGAACTTTCACCATTTACTTTGAGAAGTAGAGGAGATACTACGGGACCACAAGACTCTTGATATCTAAGCCTATATTAATGGAGTTCTAATCTAATAGGAGTATATATTAGATGTAAAATTGGATGAATTATTAGATCGTCCAGCATCATTAATACTTGGTGGGTCAATTCAATTATTAAGACTCTCGAATCGAAAAAAATATTCTATCAAAAATATATTATTATATTATAAAAGAATTTGAACAACTGGTTCAACAAGTGTCAAATGGTCCTGTATGAGGTAAGGATCAACTCCAAGACCAAAAATAAATATATGCTAGTTTCATTGTCTTTGTGTGCAACAACATCAAGCCACTAATTCTGCCTTGTAGTATATATTTATATATGAATATGCTTACTATGTTCATTTATGCCACAATTTAAATTTTGTATTATCCAATAGTGGCATTTTGAATTCCTGGATTAACGCCATCATGCATTTATTTAAGTTGTCTTCAAGACAACTCAGTCCCTTATTTTCTTCAACAACGTAACTAACTAATTTGATTTTATTTTAATTTTACGCAATAATTGATTGGGTATTTATGCTTTTATGTATTATTAGTTTTAGAATAAGTCTAAGGTGTTTGTCTTCTCAGAATTCTAGAAGTGGATGGTAATTCCCCATTACTTAAAATAGCAATCTATTCAGCCCAAGTTTGGTCACTGCCAAATGCCACGTGGATACGAGTGCAAATGCCTAGAGACGAGAGAGAGATATTCATCTCCCATTATTAGAAAAGAATTTAAAATTAAATTGTCCAGCCAACAAATGCATATACCTTTGAGATTTTGACAAGCATGCATCATCAAATCTAAATGAGAATGAAAGAGGGGAGTGAGATAACTTTCTATAAAATAATATAAGGTGCCTCTTTTCTGTATATGTTGGTTGACCAAAGTCATTCTTCAAGACCAGTCATTTCCGTGATCAATAGGGTAACAAAGAGAAGGCATTTGAACCACATTTCATCATTCATATTCTCCTTTCTCATAACGTATTGATCATCCAAGACTTCTTGTTCTATTTGTTTATATAGTTAGCCAAGTCTCACTCATTCCCAAAGCTCTATAAATTCATTCCAAGAAAGCGGCCGTTAACGGACAAGTTTGTTGAAGATTTTGTAGGAATTTTAAACTACACAGAGATTTTTTTGGCACTATATGAATAATACAAGTTATTTATTTATTTATTTTTTGCACTTAATCCTTTTTTGTTAGACAAGAGATATATAATAATGCAAAATTGATTGTCCCAAGCACCAAATTAAGAGAAGCCTAATTTATCTACTTCGAAGACATTATGGACCGGTCCTTGTGTAATTTCTACCTATACCTATGCATGCCGTGTTATAATCAAGTTCTTTTTAATTTTACGATAAATTATTAGATGGTCCTGGCATGGTCCATTTTCAATTCAGATGATTGTCCAGATTTTTTTGTAATATATTAAATACACTTTTGTGGAATTATTTTTTGAATCCAAGAATCTAAATTTAACTGGTTCACCAAATGTCAATGAATCAAGAACATCTAATAATTTATAAGGCCCTCAAATATTGAAATATATGATGTAAACACACACACACATATATATATATATTTATTTGAGCTGAAAGTATGATAGATGGAGATATACGCACGGACTCCTTCTAATGTTGCCATAAATGAACCAAAGAAGTTACACAAAATTAAGTTTAACAGGACATCACATGCGAGTCTTCATTTACGTCACAAGCCCTCAATGGATGTAATGAATAAATTCTAATAATGTAAGAGAGAAAGAGGTCGGGGTTGTGAAAAGTTTTCAACCACAGTAAGTAAGGTAAGCTAGGAAAGAGAGATGTTGAATAAAGGAAAATTATCAGACACCTTGTGATTTAAGTGGTATTTCTTATATTTTTTTAAAATGGATGATAAGAGTTGAGTCTCTAAAAAAAAATAAAGTGGGTGTGTGAGTGGTGTGTATGTATTTTTTGTCTATAAAATAATAAAAGAAAATTCAAAAATTGAAAAAGCTAGCATATAACATGAAAGGTTATCTCATTTTTGTTTTAATTCCTGCCGTGCGTACTCTAATTTGGAATGGAAGGATAAGTGCAGAGAAGCTTAATTCACCAAGCAGCTAGCTATATAGTCATTATCTCCCTCCCTTTTTCCCATACCTGAGAGAAAATGGACGGTTGTTGGACTTGATAGATAGTCTCAATCTCAACATCAATACGTACCCTCTCTTAATCCCTACAACTACAAAGAGAGATCATATGTATAGTAGTAGTAGTATATATTGTGTATTTATACAAACTACAAAACAATAGAGTGTGTTGGATGGTCTATTTTTCTATCTATAAATACACATTTGCTGAAACAACCCACTTCCCATTTTCTGCAACTCTATCTCCTGTGAAGAAGATCCAATTATTATGAATGTCCATAATTGAGATCTTCTACTTAATATCCTAGCTAGCTCCATCCTTTACCTTCTAATTAATTCGATCTCCTCATTTTCAATTAATTAACCCTTACCTGCATCGATCATTCTTGTTAGCGAGTAAAAATTGAAATATACGCAACCCATAGCTATAATTCTTGTTTTCCTTCTTTTGGATGTAGGTTTATAATTAAATATTTTTTTTTCTAAAATCACCTAATTAATTAATTAATGTTCAAATCTAGCTAGTCACCTTTGCTAAGGCCAATTAATTAATTATGAAATTTGTTTTCCTTATAATTTCAGCTAGCTAGCTATAGCTATAGCTATGGCGTTTCCGTGTGATGAAGATCAGATCGAGAAGTCAGAAAGCTCCAACTCTCATCAACAAATTAGGAAAATGGGAAGAGGGAAGATAGAGATTAAGAAAATTGAAAACACCACCAATCGACAAGTCACCTTCTGTAAGCGCCGGAATGGCTTGCTCAAGAAGGCCTACGAATTGTCTGTGCTATGTGATGCCGAAGTTGCCCTCATCGTCTTCTCAACCCGCGGCCGCCTCTATGAGTATGCCAACAACAGGTTTTTTTCTTTTCCTAATTTCTACTACCACTTTCCATTCCCATCAACTTCTCCATACATCATCACATCATCATCATGATCAACATCTTATATAATTGAAAAAATTCTGATGGCTAATTTTATCTATATATATATATATATATATATATATATATCTAGATTCCAAGCTCCAGCAGCTTCTGTCTTAGATTTTGGATGGATTTTGGCACAAGATCGAACGAACATAATGATTCTTGTGTACAGTACTTATATAAGTTAGATTATGTAGTTTTTAATTCCTAACAAAGATTGACTTGTCTTTCTTGCTTCTTTTTTGTTTTGTTTCCTTTATGAGCTTTGTCACATTTTCTCCTTTTATTTATTTATTTATTTTTATGATTCTAATTCCTAGTTTGGTCTTTCATAGACTGAACTTAGATCCATGTGTTGTAATTGTTAGAAATGGAAGTAGTGTACGGTAGTATTTACCCCTATAAGAACTACTCTAGTTATATACTCCGGTCAGTTGGGTTAGGAATCATATATATATATATATATATATATATGTATGTATGTATGTATGTATGTAAATCATGGAATTCGGTTTCCATATATCTATCTCCATTGTTGCTATATCCATCTTTGCCTTCTTCTTCTTCTTCTTCTTCTTCTTCTTCTTCTTCTTCTTCTTCTTTTCTTTTTTTATTTTTTTATTTTATTTTTTTATCTCACTCTAAAACACAAACACTCTCTCTCTGGACATACAGGTCATCTATCTATCTATCTATCTGTCTGTCTATCTACAACAGAAGTCTGTTATTAAGCTGTCACACACTCATTGGCCCATTCCCTTCATCTATTGATGCTACCTTAATAACATGTCAGTAGGTGATCAACAAATTAAGTATACAAGAAAAAAGAGAGATCCAGTTGCATATTAACTAGCTAGCTAGGGTTTCAAAACGAAAATGGGAATACCTAAAAACTCATAATATATCTAGTTCCATTTCCGGGCAGTACTCAAAGCTAAATTAGGGTTCTTTTGGCTAATGGGTATCTTGAATTTTGTCCTCTGTTGGACCATTTTGCCATTCTGTAGAAAGAACATAGGGAGGAGGGTATATGGATGGTACTATATATTAATGTTAGGGTTTGATGTGTATACATATATATATCTATATATATATCATATTTGTCTTATCGACGAATCTTTGGGTCACGTCAGACATGATTTTTCAGTGCTTTCACTTACTGACAAGAGGGTGTGGCATATATGATTCCTTTACAGAGGCTTAGCTTCACTTCCATCATTTGTCTTGCACAAATTCTCCTCTCAAATGGTGAAAATTTTACCCTTTTATGTGTATGTGTATATATATAATGTTGTAGGGGTGGGTTTCTTCTACTTGGATCTATTTGAATTAGCCTCTCTTTTTTCAACTTTGACCTTCTGAACCTAGAGAGAGAGAGAGAGAGTGTGCGTGTGTCAAAAGACGCACAAATTCATGTATACCTATGTAATGTGAGAGCTGAAAAGAGGTTAAAATTTGTGTAAACCTCATTAATTAATTGTACAGATTTGTGTTTCTATCTCTATCCCAATTTCTTTAGAGAGATCCAAAAAGAGGGCATAATATATATAAATTATATCAATAAAAAGGGAAGGTGATGAATTGAAGGTTATTTTTGTGTAAAATCTGTTGTATAATAATTAAAAATTTATGGAAGTTTGTTTATGTTGGTTAAAGGAAATTAGCTTTTAGTTTTGGAGCTAGAGCTTGAGATATATGGGGAGGGAGAGAGAGAATTAGGGGATAAGTGAAAGGGATTAATATGTTATGTAAAAAATAGGCATAATTAAGACTCGGAGATGAGGGATAGCTTATGGAGTAGACAAAACACATCCATAATGTATTCATGTTAGAGAGAGAGAGAGTAAATTAATTAAGTGAAGAAGTGACAGAGAAAAGAGAGAAGGGAAAGGAAAAAGAAAGAAGTGACAGAGTCAATGGAGATATCTCAATCTTTTCAAGCTCTTTCATGTATGGGGAAGAGCGTGCCATTGCAACAATGGGTGCTCAGTAATACTCATCACTACTCTGATACACTTCACAGAGACGCAGAGGAAGACTTTCAACCCATACTATATATTAATATATAAATATATATATATCACTGCAAGAACTACTGCATAGTGCATATATAAAAGCAATTTCGGGATTTTGAATGTATCGAGGTACCCGGGTAATAAGAGTGTCTGAAAGAACATTACACTCGGTATAAAAGGGTGGAGCAACACGTGGCATGACCATAACCCAACAGAGAATTTCGAGCCAATCATGTTGTGGGATTTTGTGACAGCATGGCAGGAGACAACCAATCAGTGGCTCGACGAAATTAAGGTTACAGCTTCTGCATAATCAAGTGTGCACCTGTACTACGTTGTCACCTATATAATATTGAAGTGTATAACAGACAGTAATGTTCCTAAAACTCTCCAACTAAGAAAATAAGAGTAATAAAAATATTAGGAAGAAAACTAATGATATGTTAGGTCGAGGGAGATCTAATAATTTCTAAACATCCACATCATCACTATCTTTTTTTTCCGTCTTCACATTATTAATGTTTCACAATAATATTATTAACATAATTAGATTATATTATAATAGTTGTGTAGATTGTTAATATAATTAAATTATATTATAACCATTATATAGATTATTGTTGTGATTGTTGCCATAATTATTATATAGCGGTTAATTGGTGATCTCTAACTTATTTATATCTTTCCTTGTACATGATTCATACTCACTTGAATATACAAAATTATACATAATTCAGTTGTATATTTCTTTGTCTCTAATCTTCAACAAATAAGATGACACATTGTCTATATTTAAATTTAAAATATAAAACAGAGAAAATTAAGATTTTTTATTTTCTATTCTACATATTTTAAATTATAAAAGGATATGTACCATCATATTATTGTACCACATCATTGATGTTAACTAAATTTCTTTTTCACCTAGTGTGGAGGTAAGTTTTTTTCATATTATAAATTATAGTATGCACATTACATGGACTAGGTATGAGTCAATGGCCGTATATAAATAATCTATTAAGCAAAAAATTTATTTATATTTATGTTTTTTTAATTATGATGATAATCATACAAATGATCTACTTCCCAATAAAAACATAGGTCAATTTGGCAATCATTTTTGTTTTGTGCTTTTGCTTTGATTCAAAGCAGAATCAATGTTTCTGCTTTAGAGTATGTTCAACACTATTTTGAAGTTTATTTGGTAACATAAATTTGTTGCAAAATTTTTGGAAGCAAAAACATGAAAGCATGTTCAGTAAAAACTGTTGTAAGTTTGAAAAAATTGATTAGCTAGTTAAACAAGTCATTTTAGAAATTTTTTTTTTTTTTTTGAATAGTGTTTTGCTACATTGTGAAAGCAAACAAAAATATCATTTTTATACTTCTGATTTTGGCCTCAATTTTGGAAGCGTTTCGGTATACTATCAAATGACAACAAACGTTACCAAATATGCTTCGTTCTTTTGTTTTGCTACAATACATTAACAAAAACAAAAATCACGAAGGAAAAACATTAGCAAAATAGGCCAATAGTGATCCTATGGTAAGAAAGATAAGAAAAGTTGGAAAAAAACAAAATATAAGAAGGATTAGAAGAGAGATGAATCCAACATGTGGGTACAAATACAAAAATTAATTAAGTACAATTAAGAATACTTTATTTATGTACTTATACGAGGCAAAAGTTAAGGTTAAGAGCATCTCCAACTGTTGTGTATATATATTTTTTTTGTGTAAATCTGATGTGTCATAATAGATTTACACAAAAATCTTGAATTATTTATTTTTAGCTCCAGTGGTTATTTTATATCTTTTGTGTAAAAATATATCCCCCAATAATAACCAACCAGTATCATGCCTAGACCTCACATAATTTTTACAAACCTACTTAATATAGGGTTGATTAGTTAATGGAATGAGAAAGAAGGAAGAAAAATGAAATATATTGATGTAACTGTATAAAAAGATTATGTAAAATACACAATAATTTTACACATTGGTGACATAACAGTGTATCTTAACAGATTGCTGGAGATAAAAAAAAAAAAAAAAAAATTACACATCATACATGACAGTATATATTTTACACAAAAGAGTGTTTTAACAGACTATTAGAGATGCTCTAAGATGGCTGCATAGAGATAATAACTCATCCTTCTTTTTCAAAATCATTGGGCAATAATCAATAAGAAGAAAATCATGTCTCTCTCGTACTCAAATGGATACTTTATACAGGGTGATGTTCCTATTGAAGCTGCCATTCTTTTTCATTTTCGAACTTTATTGGGGTATTCATCCAATGTTTACCTTGGTAGATAACACATTCGAACTTTTATTATCAAAGCGGTCCCATCTCACCTTCTTATCCATCCAAATTACTCATTTAATATCCTCCCAAAAGTAAAAGATTTGAAAAGAAATAATAAGAAGATAGTAAAACTTTCATAATATCAAATATAACCTTAACATTTTAAATAACAAAATTTAAAAAACATTTGGATCCAACTTAATTATTAGGGCATATAATGTTCTTTTTCAGAGCCCCTTACTTCTCTTATTTTCTCCAACTTGTGATGTGTTTGTCGAAACCTATCTATTACTTGGTACTTTCACAATGCAAGTATTCTTTCTCTCTCCAATATATTGTTGGGTTTGTGGCTCAAAATTGTATAAATTAGTTTCGTTTTTTTTTTTTTTTTTTTGGAAAACTAAAATTTGTGAAAGAAATTGTGTCTCATTATGTTTCTATTTTAGAGTTGAGATTGATTTGGTAACTTCTTGTAGGCAAGTTGTATAATTATTGTCCAACAAATAATTAGGTTTTGAAAACTTTATAAATAGAGATTGGTTTGGGTAGGGAGGTAAAGAGAGAAAATAGACAATTGTAGAGAGAAAAAGTAAGTTGAGTTTG